AAGTTTCCTACAAATCAGATGTCTATAGCTATGGGATGATGGTTCTGGAAATGGTTGGTGAGACGAAAAATACTGATACCAACACTGATGATTCAAGTGAAATATATTTTCCTGACTGGATATATTACCACCTCGCACAAAATGCTCAACTTGATCTCAATTGCAACGTGAATGAAGATGAACATTTGATGATAAGGAAAATGATAATAGTTGGCTTATGGTGCATACAGAATAATCCTAGAATGAGGCCATCAATGACAAGAGTGTTAGAAATGTTGGAAGGGAACATAGAATCCTTGCAAATCCCGCCTAACCTGCACATTGCTTCACCACATCTATCAGCAGCAAATCCTTCAACTTCCGAGTTAGCTCTCTGATGTTAATGAATTTTAAAAGGTATGTCGTGATGTGGACCAAGCATATAAAAAGTAATTGTAATTTGGAAGTTAATTTCTTTGTTGAATCTCTTGATTCAATGTTAAATATCAGACGGTAGTAGAACTAAACTGGAATCTGCTTTTAAATATGTCCATTACCTTTGTTACAATAGAAAGAATATGCTGCTCCGAATTCTCGAGTTTGATATTTAGTATTGTCTTCATATTGAGATCAGGCTTCTAACCAACGCAGAAGTCAAAGAAAATGGAGTTTCCTCCATCAAGGATCTGGTACTAAATTACTGCGTGATTATAAGTCACATTTCCAGGGTCTTACGCTTATCGATACTTCCATGGAAAAATGCTTCTAGCTATTGACAACTGAACGAACTGCTGTTTAATTCCTGGTTAATCTGGTTTCAAGACTTTCTAAACCCTAATTTGACAAACCACTATTCTAAACAGAGATAAAAAATTGCAGAACTTGAAAAAGTACAATGTATGAATCATCATATATTTTTTACTCTCTTTCTGCCTCTCCTATCATTCGTCATATTTGTCACTTTCAACAAATCTAGGTGAAATTTTCCGAATCTTCAGGCTTGTTTAGCCTTCATGATTTAAAAGGAAGCTTCATAAGGCTGATTCTAGTAGTTGGTTTGAATCATGCTATTTGTACAACCTAGGTTGACAAACTTAATTTACAAATTATGTATTAGTAACATCTACGCCAATCATTTCAAAAATAATTTTTAAAATCAATGTCCTAAATGTCGCCAACACTTACAAACTAAGGGTCCATTTAATTCCAAGAATAGAATTTGGGTGGAAAGAAAACAAATTTCAGGGAATTGAATTGTCTAGAACTTGTTTTACTAGGAATTATCAATTAAATATGTTTAATTGGTATAATTTTCTATCTGAAAAATGTTTAAATTTTGGATCTTTTGGTGTTCATTTAGCTTTGTTTTCCATGAAAATTGCCAATTAAAAGGATAGAATTTGTTACAATTATGAATAGCATTTGTTTCCATTGCCAAAAAAAAAAAAAAAAAAAATTGGGAAACTGGAAAAGCCAATTCCCAGCAAAACCGTGGGAATTGGAATTCCATGGTTTCAAAGAAAAACAAATCACATGGGAGGGAAACGGAAAAGCAATTGTTTAGAAAATATGTTCAATCAAACAAGGAAAAACTTGGAAAATATCCTTTTCCATTTTCCTTTCCATGGAACAAATCAAACAGGCCCTAAGTGTTAACAAAATCTAAGCTCTCTCTCTTTCATCTAGTTGTCTTAATCTTTTCTTCTTCTTTTCTTTTCTTCTTTTTTTTTTTTTTTTGATGGGAAAATACTTCATCCATTAAGGTAATAAACCTTAAGAAATGATACAACAGTGTTTATCAATGAAAATTACATTTTCAATGAATAAAGGACCACTATGCCACCAGAGGATCATGTCTTCAAGGGACCATGCGTGTCGCGCCAAGGAGTGTGTTGCTTGGTTACATAGTCTATTGCAGTGCTGAAGGTTACATTGAGGAAATCTTTGTATTAACTCTTTTATTTTGGCAACTTGAGATCGGATTGATGAAGAGGATGAGCTTAACTTATTGACTTCGTTGACAAGAAATAAACAATCACTTTCCACCACTAAGTGAGATATTCCAAAGTTGAGGCACATTTGTAGGCCTCTGACTAGTGCATGAGCTTCAATGTGTTCCGGCTCCAAGATTGTGTTTGCAGGACCACTAGTGGCCAAAATTGTTTCTCCTTCTTGATCTCGTAAAATGATTCCAATCCCATATTTATTTGAGTCAAAAAATAGCGCGCCATCAATGTTGAGTTTTAATGCTTTCT